CTTCTGAACAAGATCCATTCTGTTTGTCACATGTGCCTGTACTTGCCAGAACAAAAATATATTCTCAGCACCACTGCATTTCTTCTAAAATGCTTCAAATTTCCCAGTCATCCTGAAACCATATGTAGATCTCTTCATCTTCCCAATCCCTCAAATATAAAGATCTTCTAAAAGTTTGTAAGTTTAAAAACATCACTTTCCTTTTTCAAGGCCAACACAAGTTTTCCATGCTTGAAGCCTAATGACAATGTCAGAAAACTCAAAGGCCTTTGAATGGGTTTATTTGCTGAATCTAGTAAAGCATCACTCTACCTCCTCCATGTGATGCTACGCTTACCAGTGCGGCTCTAGTGTTGAAACAAATAACCATCACACAAACAAATACCCATCACACAATCTAACTTAACTGGCATTCAGTTTCAAAATGACCCTGTCCTTGCCATACTTTTTAATCTCTCATGGTGGCAGCAGCCCTAGAGGAGATGTGCATGTGATAACATGCATGAATGAAAGCACCATTAAACCATGAGAATTTGTCACAAACTTTTTGCCATGACTTGTGAACGAAGTCGGGAGATTCTCCATTTATTCATACTTAGTCCTCTGTACTGCTGGTATCTGTTAAATGGCTGCAGCATTCAGGAACCGCAACACCACACTATATAAGCTCCTAACAAGGCAGCAGTCCCTGATCTGATAAGTTTTCTGTAAGACCTGTTCATAACAGTTAAGCTAGCAGCGCAGACAAGATTACAGCATAGAGTACAGCTGCTTCCAGACATGGCTTGTTAGAAAATCAGTACAAGTGGGGTCAGGGAAGGACTATTTCATATAAGCAAAACAAGCAAGAACAAGGAATGAGCCAGTAAATTCCAGAGAGGCCAGCCCCCAAACCAGCAAATTTGAAGTGTTCGAGAAGGGTCTGAAGAATAAACATGCCTGTGTGGCTCTGTAGACTAACAGAGGGAAATGAAGTACCAGCACAGCTGAAGGAAACTGCTCCCAAAGATCTGCAGCACGCCAACAGATGGGCTTTGCAGGCACCACAGCAATCCCCTCCGATGCTGGATAAGGATGCCCAATTTCCTTTTCAGTCATGTCCCACCCAGGCTGCTCAACTCAAATAAATGCCCCTTATCTACAGGGCTGCCTGTTTACTGAACACTGCCAAGTGTGGTGACCTGCTCTATGGATATTACTCTCATCAGGACACGGTTTAACTTTCCAAACTAATACATCGCAAGACTGTGTTGGTAGGAAAGAACAGCTGTCTTATCAGTAATGAGAAAGTCCTCTGAAGAGTAAAGCTGGTCTGAAGGCCCTGTCTGTGGCCAAAGATGCATGGAAAACTCCCAGTTAACCAAGTGATCTCAGCAGCAGATTAAGACTACGAGATAATCTGCAGCTTGTTTTTCCCCTTAACTGATTTCCACAGAACCAGAGCAGTGATGCTTGGAAAGGTCTCTTGTCCAGCCTCCCATCTGGAGCAGAGCTATCACTAACATGAGGTCAGGGGACTGGCTCCATCTTCCCTCTCTTTGTAGAGGACACCAATACATGACCATGCTATCCCCCAGACTGTGCTTAAATACAGCCACTCTTAGTGCAGCAGCAGTCAGTCATCCACTCTGTAAATGCCGTTAGGCATCCCAAAAAGCCTGTTCTCGAAGTTCATCAACTGTATTAAACACTCAGATTACATGGAGAGGTATAAGCACACACCTGGCCCACCCTGCCAAGATCAGCTAATAATATGCCATGTCTCCCTTCTTTCTAGGTCTCTATCACCTTAGTCCATATCTGCATGAATGGAAATCACAAACATTCAAGTGTTTTCAAGTGAGAAAGGGAGTCACTTTGAGTCTCATACTGCTGTGGGCTATACCTGTCTCTAAATGACATACAAAGCACTGTCATGCTGCTCAGAGCATAAGCATTCAACTACTTTTCAATTCAGACTATGAATTATTATGAACTAAGGGAAAAAGAGACCTCCAAATCAGATTGCGGTCATAAATAAATGTAAGCGATGCCCAAGTGTGGTGTTTTGCTGAGCACGGAGCTGTCTGGGAAGGTGTGTCACGCTCCACAGCCTGCAGCCCAGGACCTGCACACCACCCCAAAGCTGAACACAAGCACGATGAAGCAATGCCTGCTTGTTGGGACATCTCTGGCTCACAGAGGTCCATTTGGCTACGTGTGCTTTTTAAAAATCAACATCACTGAAACAGGGAACATAAACAAAGGAGGTCAGAATCACCTGCAAGTTCTCTACCAGTGCAAGATCATTACTACCATTCACTTCAAACAGCAAAACCCCCACAATTAGCAATAACTTGGCCAGGAAAGTAGGCAAACACCCCCCACACACACATGCAAGAAGCATCACACGATTTACAGTTAACATATGCAGTCATGACCACACTGAGTTATAAGTTAATGTCACAGGAGCAGGGCATGGTACTACCCATGGGGCAGCCCTGAACTGAGTGGCCACAGAGGATAGCTGCCTGAGCCATGCAGTCACATCCCTAATCAGAACACACCCAGAGGTCACCTCTGCCATGAAGAGGTGTCCAAAGGCTCTTGTCATTTGTTTGAAAAAGCCTTTTCTCTATGTGAGGCCACTTAGTGCAAAGCAGTTACACTCCTTTAACTTAAGGAGCACATCCCTGAAGCTACTTCAGGCTCTCCTCCTGCAAGACCAAGTCCTCCCCTTTAAAGAGGGCAAAAGCCAGTCAGTGTTGGAGGCTGTGAATGAGCAAAGACCAGACTAGAAGAAACCCAAGAGGGAATCAACTTCTCATCCTCCAAAGCCTTGCCTGCATCCATACTTGTGGATCAGCACCCTGTTCTCCACTGGATAAGCAGGAAGGTTTTCTAAAATGAAGTGTTAGCCTGCTCCCTACTCACCCAGGCCACAGCTCAACACAAGGTAGAGCCAAAGCATGGACTAACCACCACCTTGCTACCCACGTATCGCCATTAGCAGAATCCCTGTGGTACACTGCCACTGTTACCCACGGGGTTGTCAAATATGAAGTCCTTGAGAAGGGGCTAGAAGAGTCTTGGTTACAACAGAATGATGTTCTATACATTTAGTCCATTTCAAAAGCCTGCACTCAGTAACTGGGTCTCTTGACACCTATCTTTCACAGGGTTTTTTTTTTTGTGTGTTTTGGTTTTGGGTTTGGGTTTTTTTAAGGGCCTCCCCCCCCCAATTAAAAAGAACATACAAAGATCAGATCTTACCTAGCACAAACTTCTTTCCAAGGGAGGCAAAAGTTCACCAACAGAAGAAAAAGAGAAAGGCAGGACTTAAAAAACAGGCCTGGGAACTATACGGTGAGAGAAATGAGTTGTCCTTCAGCAAAGCTGTGGTGAAAAAAACACTTGCTTCTGCAAGGTCACCAGAGAGCAGGGAAGGCCTGCAGTGCTGAGAGCTCTTCAAGGGCATGAGAGCATCAACTCAAGGTGAACTAAGGGTGTTTTTTTTTTTAGTTATTTCCACTGCTGGGAACAGTCCCCTCCTCATTGCCATGTTAGTTTACAAAAAAATATGGAAACAACTACCATGTTAAACTAAATTTTTCAATTACCTTATTATAAGACAAGCCCAGACAGGAGAAGTTCCTATGGACAACTGACCTGCTGAGACTTGCCCCTGTAGCCATACCTCACTAGGAGGTTGATGGGAGGCTACAAACTGTTGTGACCTCTTCTTCCCCATGCAGCTAGCAACATTTGCTCATTGAGGCAGAGGTTATTGCTCTTTAACCTGCCCGAGAAACCTTTTTTCCTCTCCAACACAACCCCAAGATTCTGTAAGTCCCTCTCACATTCATATAAATATGTATTAAGAAATCTACTTGAAAGTGCTCATGTTGAAATTTGTCTGCAACATCTTTGTTTAAGTTCGCTAGTGTTCACAGTAGCAGTAGAATTGCTCAAGTACAGCTCCTGAAATGTGAAATTAAAAGAAAAAAAACAAGAACAAAACGAGGCCTCTCTCTCCATCAGCAGGATGTCTGCATGGGTGGTTTTTCTGCATAAGAGATTGTTTCTTATACAGTTGTCAATTTTTCCAGCATAGGATGACTCCTCTAATAAATCAGCAAGCTTCTCCAGACAAACAAACGAGATCAACCTGAAAAAAAAAATATTTGGCTGAACACAAGTGTCACTACTAAAATCACTATACCACATATTTCTTTTCCTCAGGTGCCTTCTTCCCCTGTAGTATGAACGCATCCAGAAAATCTACCCCTTTACTGAATGTTGTGAACTCGTCACGTTCAGGAGATTTAAGCCCCCTAGCCATGGCAATGTTTCTAGTCCACCAGAGAAGACTAATGGGCCATGCTGAGACCAAGACCCTCAAGACCGCTGAAGTCATCTTATGCTTTACAGAGTGAATTCAGTAGCTGACATGCTAATAAATACCAGCTTATTTTAATGTTTGTTTACATTGCAAGTAAACCAACAAGCATTGATAGAAGTCACTTCATCTCAAAAAAAATCACAGAATCAAACATCCTGTGAAAAGTTACAGATAACAGCTTGACATTCATCCAATCAAGGTAAAACAGTATCCAGAATGAGTCTACTGATCTCTGCAACTCACTGATTAAGAAAACTACTAAAGCAGTAAAGAGAAAACAGTTACTATTTAACCCTTATCTCAAAATACATTTTTGAGGATATTTAATAAACTACTCTGTACTTAAAATAAATGATGTAAAATCGTAACAGCTCTTCACTTATGAAACCTGTAGCATAATCTGTAACGAATAAAGTTTTTCATTGGATTGTAAGCCTAGTTACAGACCTGTAAATAAAAGGCTAACGAAAGTTTATGATACTGGCAGCATCCTAAGGGGAGGTCTGCCGAGCTAGACTCAATTTTATCAGAGAAACCTGCACCACAATAACTCAAAAGACAAAAAAATAAATTACCATGGATCTTCAGAAAATAGGACACTATGGCTGCTATAGTGAAGAGCAAATATTTAATGAATGATTTGTACAAAATATGGGCTGACAAACAAATGGTATTTTCAAAGTATATCAGAGGATTTTACCCTTTTGAAAATACATCAAGTACTGCTACACAAAGAAAGGAAACTGTAAAGTTCAAAACTCTCCAAGTAGAACAAGTATTTACTTTCAGAAAAAATATGAACATAAATCTAAAGCAGCTGTGGCTGCTTAAATCTCTGACTCTGGAAAGAAAACTGCTTCCTTCCTACATATGAAACAACTGAGAATTGACCGATACTTCTCTCTCTTACATGAATTTAAGTTTCCACGTTTTCATTGATCCGATTTAACAGTCAGAAGAGGAAAGGGAGCTGGGAGGAGTTTGATTAGTCAAACAGTGAATGTTCTCAACAAAGCTTTATTATGAATTGGTTATTTTGCTTTCTGACTGTGGAAAGAATTAATTATAATACAGGGATACCAAACTAACTTTTTTTTTTTTTTTTTTTACTAAGAGCAACCAAAATACATCATTCTCCTTTTCAGAACAAGCCATTCTAATGCAAAGCTGATCAGATTAATGTTGCACTTCATAACACCCCCTGGAAACAAAGCAAATCAACACTTTGGCCTCTTGAGAATAACTTCTTATCTGAGGCCTAGGAAGAAAGCATAAGTTGATAATAATTAGATGTGGCCTTTACTAATAAAAGTGTATTAATCTTCCAGTGTTAGATTTTGAGATAAAGGCACAGCTTCATGGTGGCAGAGGTATGGGAAGGTACCAAAAATAGTTGAGCATGTCTTAACTATGAACTAGAGGCTTCTTTTTTTGTTTTACATAATAATCACATCGTGCAAAATTTTGACAATCTGGCATGTTTTGAACTTGGTTTTACTTCATTCTTTTTAAGTCCAAATGGCTGAAAGCATCCAAAAGCAACATTAAATGAAGTGTAGCGGGAGATCCTCAAAGTGAAAATCTAAACCTAAAGAACCTTCGCTTTTTAAGTACAGGTTAAAAAAATTACTATTATACTGCATTAATGGATTTTTTATTCAATACACAGCTCTTCTATTTGATGGAGAAGCAAACATATCTCTTAAAGGTAAAAAAAAAAAACCAAACACAGTACTTCTCTACTGCTTTAGAAATAATGGACATGCTCCCATTTCTCCTAGACTTCGTAATAAAAAAAAAATTAAAAAAAATTACTAACAGGAACCCTTAGAAGAGTGCCTTATCAGGAAAGGCCAGCTCGACCACTACTGTTCGCTGTTTCAGTTCTTCCAGCAATATCTTATTTGTGTGCAATGAATAATTAGATGCTAGATAGCAGAGTACGGCATAGTGAATAAATACTACCCACAGGCTGGGGTGGAACAGCAGCGCACAGGCCCAATTGATCTTTGCATGTTTTTAAATTACATTTTCTTAAAAGCTTAACACTTTGCCTGGATTCTGCATATCAACCTTACTGCTAGAAAAGCTGCAAACAACAACAACAAAAAATCATCAGTATAAAAAAAATGCTGTCACACAGGCTTCAAAGAGCTTCCACACTCTTTATTCCAAGAGAGACGATTAGTTAAGGTGCTTTCAGCTTCTGCACTGCAGACAGGCTGGCAGAGGTGGCTGTTTAATAAGCTCTTAAGAGTCTTTAGCAGGTGTCTGAGAGCAGTTCCTAAGGCAGAACCTCCCAAATACTAGTTTCTGTATCGTGGCATCTGTGGAGCAGGGGCTCCCTCTAAGGGGGCTGAGGAAGAGACTGTCATAAGCTGTCCAGCATGCATTCTCTCATTCACCCGTAGTTCACAGCCATCCTGCAGCATCCTTATAGCTATCCTTGCAATGTTTTTGGAGTCATCAAGTCCGCTGTGAGGTCTCCCATCATAATCCATGCCCAGCTGTTCAAGCATGATTGTCAGTTTGGTCTGCTTCCTAGGAACCTGATGGAGAAAGTGAACCACATTCAAGAATTACGTTCTGTACCAAGTCTTTTTAATCTAACACAGTGCAGTAGAAACATATGCAGATTTTTAAGTCTACTTAAGTCACATACTACTTTCATCCTGCCTTTTGTCAGATCACTAACAATTGAACTTCAAAGTACCTTGGTGAGGCAGACACTGTCATTTTTACTGAGGAGACATAGTCAACAGGAGCTTGTCTAGACTCAGGATAATGTCAAGAGCCTCTCACCACCAGCACCACCTCAAGATGTGCCAGAGCTGCCAATGGTGGAAGCCATGGCCTAGCTAGGTTTAACAAGCCTTATAAAAAAGGAATTGCCACCCAAAGCGGCACTGCAGAGGGAATCTGATTTTGCTTTTTGTTTTAAATTCTAAGCCATTAAAGAAGCACGAGGCACCTGATTCTCACTGAGGTCAAGCTTCTGAATGCCTCCAAACACTATAGGAACAGACCAGCAACATCTGTAGCAGCCCATGTTTACATGGATGACCAACAGCAAAGAGACAAGGAAGCTTCACTGACTTACCCATGCAAAGTGCGACACCAGTAAAAGCCCCAGGTCCTCTCCTGATTAACTACTAAATATAAATTTGTTCTTTGAAATGGTCAAAAAACAAAAGGATAACTTTAAAGGAAAACTTTAGTTTGCTCTCGTGGTGGTGGTGGTTGGGGTGGGGGAACACCGGACATTGCAAGTTCCATGATATTGCACCATAATACTGGATTGAATAGCTAGGCAGAATGGTAACAACAGTTGCCAAAATTTGGCAATATGCAACTCCAGTAATAACACCCACAAACTGGGTAGGGAAGACATACTGAAGGTTAGGGGATAATCCACAGGAAAGCTACAATTAATTCCTTGTCAATTTTATTACTATTACTTAACAACAGATTCAACAGTAGCACAGAATAGCTAAACAGAAGCACTGAACACCTATAAATTCTACAACTGTTTGCATTTATTAAAAAAAAAACCACAGAAAGAAACTGATTCCTTCTAAGTGACAATCTTCACTGCCTTTAATGAAAAAGCACTCTCTGCTCAACAGAGAAGGAAAAAGAAGTATGTCTAGGTTAAAGCTGATAGGACTAACAAGACTGTTCTAGCATGTTTCCAACAGAAACATTCATGCAGAGAAGGCACAATAATAAGAGGGAGAAATGGAGTAACCCTGTAATATTTGCCGAGCACAAAGTAAAGTTGTTCTCTTATTAAATGTTAAGCTCTTTTTTTTCTAGAGGTTACATTTAGTATGAGCAAGTCCTTCAAGAGAAGATCATCAGCTAGGCTGAAATCACATTGTTTTCAAACAAACGGTTTAGTGTAGACTGACTAGGAAGTTGCTAGAATCTCCAATGACCCATTTTATAGTAATATGACAGTGAAAGAAAGCAGCAATAAGGTCCAGCACTAAACCTGGTATTACTTTTCTCTTGACAATTTGATTCCACCATAGACATGCCCTAATCCTTCTCTGTCGCCATTACATTGTCAGAAGTGGAGATATCTGAGGGTAGTGGTGCAAATTAGTTTTGTAGTGTATTACATGAAAACAGGAAATTGAAAAAAATCAATAGAGTCTTTTCAGCTAAACTACTTCAAGACACACTTCATCTAAGAGCACCAGTATGACATTTTTAGATAATCCATCATGGAGCATCTCCTGATTCTTAAAAGCAAGATTAAAATCAAAATTCAGTAGATTATATGATCTTCAATTAGCAAAGTGAGATCTGGGCATGAAGCATGTTTGAAAAACTAGTTGCCTGGAGCCTGATTTAAGTACTATAATTTTACACTACACAAGATGAAAAACACAACAGGACATTCTAGACTTTTAAACCAAGTTTTTCTGCAAGAAAAACAATGATTTGTACAAACCTTATAGAAGTTCCCATATGATTTGCGAATATTGATCCACTTTTTGGCAAAAGAAGGGTATTTGATATGGCTAATACGGCACTGGGTGCTCAAAAACTTACTCATATCCCAAGATCTTAAAAAGTCAAAAGAGAAAAGAGAAAAACATTAGTAGTATATAATTCAGATGCCTGATGTTCTACCTATTGCACAGCTGTAGTGCAAACGGTTGTCTTTTCTTTGGTGGTCAGTAGAAGGAAAACAGTTTAAGAAAACCTCTTTTGCTATAAACATAGTAAGGAATTTTTTAATCATGGGGGAAACAAATAATGACATGGGCAAGATTTTCACTAGCATCATTTCAGGTCCAGTATGGTTCAAAGGAAAAAATAGCATACCAACTTATCCACCTACCACATTTACTCCAAAACCTGACAATATATGAGACACTTATACAGCCCTTGGCGAAGCAAGCAACACCTTAAATTTTCCTGATTTCTTGCATATGCACATATCTCTCAACACAGGTTTCTGAAACAAGACTGCACTTAAGTTTTAGGAGAACCAGACCTTTATGGAAAGAAGACGAAATTATAACCCTATGTACTTTTAGCCTGTCTTCCTGGAGGGAACCACCCCAACAAGTTTCTAAGCTTGAAGCTAAAACTAAGCCTTTTTTCCCTCCCTCTCTTGCAGCTGTCTACACAATCTCACCTATATGGTAGATTTTACTGCACCTATTTTCCTTGAGGAATTTCCCTGAGGGGATTCCCCTGGAGGGGAATTCCAGACACACTCTAGCCCCAGGAATATAAGCAGTCTTGCACCAGTTTTGCTTATTTTTTTTTTTAAATTTATTCTTGCTTCCAAAGATAGAAACCTAACAATAGGTAAAAAACTAAGTCAAACAGCAATATTTACTACAGTTCCTTAAATTGAAGCTGGAATGACATTATTTTAACTCCTTATTTTTAAGGTGTACACAGATCTATTTTTAAGATGTACATCTCAAGTCTTGTGTGACAGCTTTTAAATAAACTGTTCACTCTGGACACTACCACATTTCAATGTTACATATTCTTCACCAGAAAAGACCTGTGATTTATAGCCACTGTCCAAATCTTCAGTAACTTTGAGAAAAAAAAAGTCTCACAGCCAAAAAGAATTTCCCACCTGGTAAATTGGACTAGTTAAAAAAGGTTTTGTTATGTATCCATTGATCTCCTATGACATGTTATTTTTCAAACCATTCATATTATAGACTAGAATATTTATCTGTGATTTACTTGACAGAAGTATTAGGAAGTTGTACTAAGATCCTCCACACTCTTTTTTTTATAAACTCCAGTTTTGTTTCAGTTTGACAGAGTCACTGTAACACAGGACTGTGTTTTTAATCCAGCACAGTGGAAGACTTACTCCAGGCAAACAACAGGCACAGCAACATGAAAATACATCATTCAACTCAACATGGATAATATTAAAAACTCTGTGCTATTTAAATCCCTCATTCCAAGAGAAAGACAAAAGCAGACATGTTAACAGAATAGTAATGTTTCACAGCTAAAAAGCAAACATCACCTACAGAAAAATTCCCTGGCCAGTGCTATACAAGGTAAGGTTCAAACAGTATCTTTCATCATAACATAGCTAAGATCACAAGAAAAACGTTGCATCACAGATATATCTAGATCTCAAGATCTGTTCAGTTTGCAGTCACGAGGGGATTTGATTTTCCACGCAGACCTTGTGAGAGAACAAGTTCAGTTGGCAGTTCAAGGACTAATCAATCCCTCACACAGAGCTTGTCAGAGCTGTGACCCACCAGAGCCACAGTCCTCTAAGCCAAAGCAGAGAGCCTTCTGTGCTAGCCATCTCTCCTTGTTTGATAAACAGCACAATGCATTCTTGCCTTCTGGTGAAATATGAAGGATGTATTAACAGACACTACTACATTAACTACTAACACACAGAGGATACAACCACCACACATCTCAAACCTCCAACTGAGGAGAGCACAGTTGTTGCTTAGAGCTGAAATTGCACAATATTATTCTCAGGTATTATAAGCTATACGAAAACTAGATGTAAACAGAGAATTACAATAACAAAAGAGAATAAAAAGTCTATTCAACATCATTTAGTTGCATGCAGAACGCTAGGAAAGAAACAGTGCCATCTAATGGATTTAAGCTTCATTTCAAACTGTTTAGCTCAGCTTTAATTTCCCTGAAAGCTAAAATTATAATAAAATGGCAAAATGGCAGCGTTCCAATCCACCTTTAACAATAGTCTCACAAAGATTAAACACTATTTTTCAGTTTCAGATCGTGCTGAAGGTTACATAAAGACATACCCATCTGTCAACATGGTATAACTATACTTTGTTCCCAGTTCTCGCTGTCTCATCCACTCTATGACATTCTGCAGAACTTGAGGAAATGTATCAGCTTTATCAACAATGTCCTAAGAGAACCAAAAAAACCAAAAGTGATTAACATTTTTTCAGAAAAAACACCAGCATGAAGTATAAGAATTATATTGGTATATAGGCACTCACTAAATTACTCATTAAATTGGCTTCACAAAAATCTTTAGAAGCAGATTCACATCAAAATGAGCAGGATATTGGACAGATTTTTCTAAACCAAAAAAAAAGCACCACTAAAAGAGCCAACCTCCAAATGGCATCTATAAAGGTAACAAGGTTAGTCAGCTGTTGAACTTAGATTAAAACCTTGAAGCTTGTTTCCCAGACTCCTGCTCAAATCACTTGATCACAAACTACTGCCATCCTAAGACTCTAAACCCTCTAGAAAAAAAATCTTGGAAGAGGAACTGATGAAATTCAAAAGTAATTTCCTCTGCTAAAAATTACGTTTCTACACATGGATTACAAAGTGAATCCTTTTCCCTACAGCCCCTTACAAACAGCTAAATAGTGAAATTAATTCTGTGATCATTGCGAGAAGGGGAAAAAACAAGGATTAAGAGAACAAACCTGACAGAAAAATTACCATGAAATATTACCATTCTGAAAACATCACCACCACATCTCCTTCCTTCAATTTTTTTTCCTGAAGAAATGGAAGTGCAAATTACCTGGGTGATTCCTGTCAGACTGATGCAGAAGTTTGAAAGCTTGGGATTCATTTCTGGCTTCACATATTGCTGAAAGGTATCCTCCTGTAATAAGAGAATCAAACACTCAGCAGTAGCACACTATGTAGCAATTTCTTTGGCTTGCCCATAGCTGAAAGGCAATAAGCAGCTACATGCCCTACTCGAGACAAAAATGAGTGTGCACCCCCCAGCCAAGGTGACCATCTTGACTGGTCATCACGATATTCCCAATGGGAATCGTGGACGGATGGCTTTCCAACCAGAACAACACATCCTTCCTCTCAGCCAGTAGGCACCAGAGAGCAAGGATGTGCATGTAAGAGGGGAGAAGGTCAGACTGCAGTAAAGGGGAGGAGATTTGGGAAAAGGAGAGCATGAGTAAGGAAAAAAAGTGAGAGGCATGAGCAAGGCCTGATGTTTTCTAGGTGGTATCTCTAAAGGCTCATCCATAAGGCAGGCAAGCAGCCACACATCTTGGAGGCTGCATTAAGGCATACACCTCTGGATGCCAGCCAGAGATAAACACAGTGACCTCACTTGGGGAAACTGAGCAGTACAAGAGTAAAGACTATATGCAAGTTTCATGGAAAAATGCAAGCCCGGAATCCCTGCTGCTATACAAAACCTTTTGGACAGAGGGAAAAACCAGTTTCCTACTACTCTAAATGTAATGAAACAAATCTCAGTCATCTGTACAATCCTCTCTCTGCAGTTAGTCATACATACACTCTACTGTAGCATCACAGTAATTACTGAAAACCCTCCTTTTAGAAGTTCTTGATAAATGAATCATTATTCAGAGGAGTGTGCACTTCCTCCATTTCACTGAGTCACTCGGTTTCAGTTAGACAGCAAGTAATTTTCCTAAAAGAAAGCTGTACTAGAACAGAGCACTCCAGGCTGCCAAATGCCTACTAAGTATGTTTAAAATCAGGTTACATAGCTGTCAATCTGTTGGGTACGCTGGAAATACTCTAAGCTACCAAGAAGCAGAGTTTACTCAACCCCACACTCTAGGCCTCTGCATTAGTCTCTTTCTAGCTTGCCCAACAAAATACCATAGAATTTACTAATATTTGTTTATGATGAATCCCTTGAGTCCTAGAAATAGCTTTGTGGATCTTAAAGAAGGGAAAGCAGCAGGAGTGGGGGAGAGGACAACTGAGAAATAAAGTCCCTCGTATCAGTAGAGGGAGTCAACAGCAGGAGCATGATCTATTCCAGATGCTTTAAGAAGAGAAAGAACGTTTTGTTTGCATGTAAGAGGCACAGAGGGATAGGTCTTTAATTTTTAATTAAGTTCAACTTTTACCTAAAAACTAATCTAGACTTTCTGAAGCAAAGAAGTTACATCAGAGAACAGCATACCAACACAGTAATAAGACCACTTACTATTTCCAGGGTATGTGTGTTTAGTAAGACAAGAGGAAACTCAATTATTTCATGTATGAATTCAGGTGGGTTTCCTTCTTCACAAGTTGCTTCAAAGTCAACAACACAGATGTAGTCATAGTAGCTGTCTCCATTAACAGGTTCTTTCTGCATCAGCTTCTGTTTCTTATAATAGTTTTTCAGTCTCTTTTTCAGCACATCTTTCACTCCCCTAAAGAGATAAGTGGCAAAGATCACTTTTTCGTTTAATTAATTATTTCACCACTGTAGAACTGAAGCTATATTTAACATTTGAAAGTTCATAATTTATTAACCTCATTTTGAAGACCAGCACTTAATGAAGTCTGAATTCTTCAGACTACTTCTTCATCACACAGTTAACACTCCATTCATCATACAGTTAACACTCCATTATCTGGGATAATACACAGGCAGTGATACCCAATGCATCTAGAAAAATCAGTATTTGAGGACAGACTGGATAGCACAGTGCAGTGACACTCTGCAGTCACCTCCATCCAGTTCAACAAGACTCAGCAGCCAAAGCCTTTGCAAAGACCAAGTTTTTGTAGATTGCTTCTAGATGATCTCTGGCCCTGGGAGCAGTACTGCTTCACCCACATTTGCCTGAAGCGACCAGCACCCAAGGTATTTCTGCATCAGTGGCACAGGTAATGCAGAATTCAGCTAAAACACCCACATTTTAAACTTGCCTCAATTTTAACTGAATTACTCAAGCTCAATTTTAAATTTAAGTATTCAAGATTTCAGTTGTCAGAAAAACTTCCTGGTCAGGATCCTGCTTTTCAGGTTTGTGGGTAACACATAAACTCACAGTAGCAAACAACTGAAGTTACTTACTGTGTCTTTTTAATACAAACATTATAATATGCAAGTGCAGGTGCCAGAACTGCCACATACCAAACAAGAGCTGAATAAACAAGGATAATTTACTCTTTGAGGGAAATTATTTTTAAAATTACGCATTGCTAATAAAATCACAGAAGCTGTGAGAGCTACTTGTAGCAGTGGCATTATCAAAAAAGCAGCTCACTGATCCATAAGGAAAAACTGGTATCAGACTGCTAAACCTGCATTTGAGAACGTCAGCCTCTTCTGCAAACACAGATAACTTTTTCCACTCTGGCTTATTAATCTACTTGAATTCATGACTATTTCATTCAAAGTTGAAACAGTATGGGAACTAATGGAGGGGAAGTTAACCTTTTTCTTCATCAAACCTTAAAAAGAAGCTCAAAGAGGAGACAAACTGCTATCAAAATAACCCCAAGGGAAAGGATGGTGTGGCAATCTGCTCAATTCACTACAGCAGAGGTGATGCACTATTTGTTTACATGTAAAACATAATCTGACCAACATAATTGAATAAATTGACAAGTCTAGTTTAGCTAAAAAGTTTTAAACTTTCTGCATTTACAACTGAATAAAAAACACAAATAGCAAATTAGTAACATGGGAGGAAACCACAAACTTATAATTTACTGTTTGAATTCTGCTTTTTATTTTCAAATCAATAGAACTGCTGAATAGTTGTACAAATCTAATCTGTTTTACTAAACATTTTATCAGGTGATGATAACATTTTTCCTCCTGAGGAGTCAAATTAAAAACAAAAAAAAACAAAACAAACCATGCAGACAGAACATCTGCAGATGGATAGGGTGAATGTGGCAGGCTGCACTTCCCACACACACATTTTTTTTTCCACTTTTATTCTTTTCAAACAAATCTGTTCCTTCCCTTTTTTCCTCTCAACTTCCTCTCTCTGACACTCACCTTCTTCTCTAGAAAGCTAGATTTCCCCTTTCAAACTCCACCTCACCTTTCAAATTCCCTCTTCCTCCAGAAGAGTAGCTTCTCACTTTGCTAACTTACACCACCACCACCCCCCCACTACTTCCTCATAACTGTTGCCAGCAGAAACAATACACTTTGTTTTTCCCCGTTGACCTCCTTCTCAATTTGCCTGGCTACAGCAATATCAAAGGGACTTGCAGGTCATCTCTGACAGAGCAGGAACCACTCTTTTATATATCTAGCCCTTTCCTCCTCCTCAATGAGCATACATCCAGTTTATAGTACATTCACCTATTCACGTTATTCTATCACCTATTCAGATTAGAAAACCCTCCATCTAAAGGTACCTGTCCTCTGCATTTATTAAATTCAGAGCCCTATCACCTAGCCAATACTAAATCTGTGCTGGGTACAGTAAGTAAAAATACGTATGTTCTGAAGTAAGCTGCTATACACCGAAGGTCTGCAACACCACCTGAGAACCCTTGCAGTTCTTCAGGCCCATCTTTCCCCTTTGACCAAAACCATGTTGAGAAGTAACCTATTTTTACATATTCCTTGTGTTACCAGTTGAGACCACACTTTTCTAATAACACGTTAAGCAGTATCACATGCACTAATCCTACAATGAAAGCTGCACCAAGACTGCAGATAAAACAACTGGTGTTCGGTAGCATGTCTGCTTTTCACTTTGTGGTGTTTTTAAACTTTAAAATAATCATCCCTTGCAGCTCTACTGCTCTCAAAGATAAAGCAAAAGGTTCACAAATCAGCCTAACCTGGTTTCAAGCTTGAACTCTGCAAGTTTACTTCTGAGCTCATCTCTGGTCATTCTGTTGATACAGCCATTGGTTATAGCAATTTCTTTATAAACTGGATCACTGAAGTCATTCGAACTGGCAGTTGAGGTTTTTCCATTAGTTTCTTGATCAGTGATCCTATAATGCTGCCTACCCTAGAAGAAAGAAAAATCCCAGGGTCACCGAAGGTCACAAGATTGAGCATTAAAATTTACACATCGTTTTTAGCATCAAAATGCAGTGAATCATCACGGTTTTACTCATGATCCAACTGAGTGTTATAGACAAATAAGAAAATCCATATTCCTAGAGATCAACAGACAGAACAAAGGGGTACTAACACAAGTGCCTGAAGCCATGACAAACAGCAGTTCCAAGAGCCAAAACCTGAGCGCATATCCCAGTTTCAAGAGAAAAAGTCAGTTCTCTGGTATGAGCTGGGAAAACCTTGATCAGCCATCAAGAGATTTCTCTCGGCACCTTAATTAACGAGAATCTATACTGACTGAGACACACGGACATGATGTTCGATATGTAAAAAATAAATAAACAATAATTTAAGAGGGAAAAACTAGTAGCACTTCGACCCTGAACGGCTATTCGCAGCCTCTCAGGGGCGAGCGCAGGACCAGGCCGCCGCCCCCCGGACCCGCCGCGGCCACAGCCCCCACAGCCGCCGGGGCCTCCCTGGCCTCGGGCGCAGACGGAAGGGCCCGTGGCACCAGCGGCGCCCCCTCAGTAAGGCGGCGCTTGGCCCGCCCGGGCAGGC